AGACACTTGCTAAATAGGCCAAAGAGAATGAGAAACCTGAATAGAAAAGATGGTGAAGGAAGTGAGTTGGTAAGGGAAACTTCATATAAAAGAGGGGAGAGAAAATCTCCAAACTGATAGAGAACATAAAATACCTTGGGCTCCAGGCATAGAGGGATAGTGATTGTTAAGCGCACTGCCCCCTCCTCTTCGTGTTTCTAGCCCCACTGCCTCTCATCTTGGCTCTTGCAGTTGCCCTCCTACCTCCACACTTGCCATCCTTTCAACACATCCCTCACTTACCCATGCTGGAGGCTTCAGTGGCTACCTACTAATTCCAGAATAAACCAGATTCCTTATCTTAGTAAATCTACACTGGCCACAATCTAGATCTACCTGTCTGACCTGCTCGCTCACTCCTTTTTCATGTGCCCTTCCTTCAGCAGTCGAGATTAAACTTTGCCCCAAGCATACCGTCTAACTTTCACGTCTCAGATGATCTCTTTGACCCAGGAATAAATGGCCATCTTTGCCAGTTGAAATCCTAGCCTAACTCTGAGATTCAGCTGCTCATGAAGCTGCCCTGGTCACAGCAGCCTACAGTAAGCCCTTCCTTCTCTAGACTCCTGTAGCATTTTCTGCCTCTTCTCATGCCTCTCGTTAGTTACTTGTGCATGTCTTATTTTCTCGTTTAGATCTTACGCTCCTTGAGGGACAAAGAACACAACTCTTCCTCTTCATTTTGTCCATATTATGCCTAGCATATTGCCTTCCTTATAATACCTGAATAATAAAAATGCATTAGATGAATGATAGCAATCCCATTAGGATCATATAGTCTAAATCAAATTTCAAAATGTTATGACTGATTTTGTAGTTCCTTTTGTATAGAAATAAAAATAGGTATATGAGTATTTCTTACTAAATGGAGACTTTTCAGTACCTATAAGCAGTGATGTCTATGGGAATCAGCACTACTGTCTAGTGGCCAAATCAGTTACCCAATGGCAGGAGGTCCAAAGTGCTGCTTGGTCTCCTGAATTCCTTTTTGTAGATTTCCTTTCCTAGTAAACTATATACATGTAATTGCCAATGATATTTAGATTTTTAACAGTAGACCCACACATTGCAAATATTCTACTGGTGATGCATGTGGGGAAAGGTATTATGTTTTTCTCCCACTTAACTTTTCTGTGTGAACTAAATCCAAGTATCTGTATTTTCATAATTCAAAGAAAATATCTGTGCCAATATTCTGAGAACAAATAGCTGCTAGTGAAACATGACAGTATATTCCTTGGTGACAATCAGTCATTAAAAGATGTGTTGCTCAGAGCAAGCAGCTACCTTAAACTGAGCTCATATGCAAATGTGAACACTCCAATTAAAATTACATGGCATACATTAAAACTTTCCTGATAGAGGCTATGGAGCTTTCCACAGAAATAGAGCTGAGTTCAACCTTAAGTACTCTGCCTCATTATTTTTTTGTCATTTCCAGCTATAGCCTCTCCAAAGAAAACAACTTTGTAGTTCTGTTCAGTTTTGTGTGTGCTCTGAGCTTTATGCCCGATTGCTGCTGCAGAAAACCGAAATAGATCCAAATACTGCTGTTGTTTTCCTTTTTTCTTTAATATTTAGACATCGAAGATACTCCAGTACTTTTATGTTGTAGAGTGTATATGAGACCAGTTTTCCCTAAGGGTGTTTGCTGTCCCAGATGGTTTGTTTTGTTTTGTTGTAGCTGTTAGTCTCCCTTTTTAGAAGTCATCTGAGTAGTAGCTTGTAGATTTCACAGGATCGCTGGTGGTTCTGTGGAGGAAGAACTGGAGTGAGGCCATCTTAAAAGCAGGGAGATGAATTAATAATTCGGAGATTTTTTAAAATATTTTTTTAAGAAATTGAAAACTAAAAACAAAAAAGCCCTCCCTTAATTTCCCACTAAAAATCATATGTGATGACTAATGGCCTTGGGAAATTTTTTAATTTAAGCACTCTTCCTAATGCTAAAACTAAAAGATAATCTTCACATCAAAGACTTTTACTAAAATACCTTGGGCTCCAGGCATAGAGGGATAGTGATTGTTAAGCGCACTGCCCCCTCCTCTTCGTGTTTCTAGCCCCACTGCCTCTCATCTTGGCTCTTGCAGTTGCCCTCCTACCTCCACACTTGCCATCCTTTCAACACATCCCTCACTTACCCATGCTGGAGGCTTCAGTGGCTACCTACTAATTCCAGAATAAACCAGATTCCTTATCTTAGTAAATCTACACTGGCCACAATCTAGATCTACCTGTCTGACCTGCTCGCTCACTCCTTTTTCATGTGCCCTTCCTTCAGCAGTCGAGATTAAACTTTGCCCCAAGCATACCGTCTAACTTTCACGTCTCAGATGATCTCTTTGACCCAGGAATAAATGGCCATCTTTGCCAGTTGAAATCCTAGCCTAACTCTGAGATTCAGCTGCTCATGAAGCTGCCCTGGTCACAGCAGCCTACAGTAAGCCCTTCCTTCTCTAGACTCCTGTAGCATTTTCTGCCTCTTCTCATGCCTCTCGTTAGTTACTTGTGCATGTCTTATTTTCTCGTTTAGATCTTACGCTCCTTGAGGGACAAAGAACACAACTCTTCCTCTTCATTTTGTCCATATTATGCCTAGCATATTGCCTTCCTTATAATACCTGAATAATAAAAATGCATTAGATGAATGATAGCAATCCCATTAGGATCATATAGTCTAAATCAAATTTCAAAATGTTATGACTGATTTTGTAGTTCCTTTTGTATAGAAATAAAAATAGGTATATGAGTATTTCTTACTAAATGGAGACTTTTCAGTACCTATAAGCAGTGATGTCTATGGGAATCAGCACTACTGTCTAGTGGCCAAATCAGTTACCCAATGGCAGGAGGTCCAAAGTGCTGCTTGGTCTCCTGAATTCCTTTTTGTAGATTTCCTTTCCTAGTAAACTATATACATGTAATTGCCAATGATATTTAGATTTTTAACAGTAGACCCACACATTGCAAATATTCTACTGGTGATGCATGTGGGGAAAGGTATTATGTTTTTCTCCCACTTAACTTTTCTGTGTGAACTAAATCCAAGTATCTGTATTTTCATAATTCAAAGAAAATATCTGTGCCAATATTCTGAGAACAAATAGCTGCTAGTGAAACATGACAGTATATTCCTTGGTGACAATCAGTCATTAAAAGATGTGTTGCTCAGAGCAAGCAGCTACCTTAAACTGAGCTCATATGCAAATGTGAACACTCCAATTAAAATTACATGGCATACATTAAAACTTTCCTGATAGAGGCTATGGAGCTTTCCACAGAAATAGAGCTGAGTTCAACCTTAAGTACTCTGCCTCATTATTTTTTTGTCATTTCCAGCTATAGCCTCTCCAAAGAAAACAACTTTGTAGTTCTGTTCAGTTTTGTGTGTGCTCTGAGCTTTATGCCCGATTGCTGCTGCAGAAAACCGAAATAGATCCAAATACTGCTGTTGTTTTCCTTTTTTCTTTAATATTTAGACATCGAAGATACTCCAGTACTTTTATGTTGTAGAGTGTATATGAGACCAGTTTTCCCTAAGGGTGTTTGCTGTCCCAGATGGTTTGTTTTGTTTTGTTGTAGCTGTTAGTCTCCCTTTTTAGAAGTCATCTGAGTAGTAGCTTGTAGATTTCACAGGATCGCTGGTGGTTCTGTGGAGGAAGAACTGGAGTGAGGCCATCTTAAAAGCAGGGAGATGAATTAATAATTCGGAGATTTTTTAAAATATTTTTTTAAGAAATTGAAAACTAAAAACAAAAAAGCCCTCCCTTAATTTCCCACTAAAAATCATATGTGATGACTAATGGCCTTGGGAAATTTTTTAATTTAAGCACTCTTCCTAATGCTAAAACTAAAAGATAATCTTCACATCAAAGACTTTTACTGTTATGGCAATTCCCATCTAAATCCTTTATGTATTTATTTTAAGGCCCTATTATGATAGCTTTTAGAGAATGTTTTCAAAGTTTTATCCATTCTTTTTAACTGGGAAAATGTTTCATGTGATTAGACTTTGGTTAGCACCTTTAAAAATTATACATGACATGAATGAAAATATTTTTTGTGTAGTATATCTATATTTTTTCCTAAAATGTCATTTAATCTCCTTATTTTTAGTAATCACATACAACACTTTATTTTCATTTAAATCCATATCCTAAAGAATCAGTAATCATTATGGTACTTTGGAATACTTGTTCCATTAAACTGATTTTCTTACTTGCAATTAGTGGGTAGGAGTATAAATAGAAAATATTTGATGACCATGAAAGAGATCTAATTATAAGCAAACGTGTCAGTGCTATGTGAATAAATAGGAAAGTGAATCAGGCCAACTTGGTCACAATAAACATATACTAGGAAAAGTAAAGTTAATAATAAATACATACTAGGAAAATAATAGAACTAAGACATTTTCTCATACATTCAAAATGTTGAAGGTGTATCTAATTTGATATCTGTGATCTTATAAGGAGAGTATATTAAATGAAAAAATTGCTGTTTTGTTCTTTATCAAAGGAAAAAAAATAAGGAATGGCAATTTAGGCTCAAAAAATAATGCCATAAACCAAATTTAGCTTTAATTACTGTCTAGCCATTAGGAGGAGTAAACTATCAATCACGATCATAGGTCTTTGATCTCACATTTCAACTTCCTTGTTCTCCAGATGAATGAAATGGTCTTTTCTCAAATGTTCAACAGGCCTTTTACCATTTGATAGGACAATTATTTTTAAGAAGGTTTAAAATGTGATCTGGAAAACCACATTGATTCTATGTGGCATATTTGCTATTCTTAGCCTGGTTGAATAAGCTGGAAGTGGATGAATAATGCAGGTTAGAAAGAAAACAGATGCTGAATATTACAAATAGGAAGGTTTTCCAGCAATGAGACTTTGATTTTAAGACTAGATTTTTGTTGGCACTTTTGGCCTTATGACGATTATTGTTTTTCTCGGCAGCTGTTGCACATCTGTATTGAAGGTTGGGGCAATTGGCGTTGGTCAGAGCCCTTCAGTGTGGACCATGTTGGGACTTTCATTAGAACTATTCAGTACAAGGGCCGAACTGCTTCACTCATCATCAAGGTTCAGCAGTTCAGTGGAGTGCAAAAACAGGTAAGTTCCTTTGTCTTCATACCCCAGATAACTCTTAATTATTTGATGTAATTAATGAAATTTAAAAATTTCATAAGAATATGAAAATAACTGATAATTTTAAAAATCACAGAGATATGCCTAGTTATACCTACTACTATCATGCGTGTGAGCTCTTAGTAAATGCACTGTCAATGACCCTGATGCTGGTGATGGCTTCAAACCCCTAGTCCCATGGCTTTTACAAGAGCTGCTAACGAGCAGTAAAATTTACTGATTTAGTTTCACCTCTTCTCCCTGTCACCACCTACCTACTGGTGGAGGTGCTAATGAGCTGTGAAATGGCCGAAAGGCCTTCACTGAGAAGGAAAAGAAGCAAAGGGTGGTGGGTGGGGCCTTTGGATAATCCGCCAGTAGGTAACCAGGAGTTGGTTCCCATACATGGAAAAATAATCTGCAAGAAAATGTTGTGATACTTCCCATGGCAGAATGGGCCTGGGTCTCCAGCAGGCTTTCTTTTCCTACGAGTTAATATAACTGCAGTAAAAATTCACTGCAGTCTAACTCTTGGCATATAAAACCTCAGCTCTCAGCACATATTTTACGTATTTTATAAAACTTCCTTTTGGCTGTTTTTGAAGTCCTAAGACTGCAAAGGGAAAAAAAGTATCTGACACTTTTTTTGTGTTCTTAAGATGTGAAAATGTGGTTTTTAAAAGATGTTTTTCAAGCGTGGAGCATATGACAAGAGCAGAAAGAAAAAAAGGAAGTATTAAAATCTGAAAACCGGCTTCACTGCACACATAATAACTGGATTTGTCATAAGAGTTTTAACATATACATCTGCGTCTGGATTATAACAGTTTATCCAGAGCTTATGTGAACTGAGGACATGATAGAAACAGCACTCGGTCACAGAAAAAGAAAAGGGGAGCTTTCTGTGTGGAGCCTCAGAGGTTACTCTATTGCTGCATGCCAAGGGGCGAGCAGGAAGCCACTGGGGAGGTGAACAGCAGGTCCCATACCATGTACATTCTTGGTGTGCACCTAATCAGGGAACTGGACTTCATGTTCTCATTATTGTAGGTAACCGAGGTGAAAAGACAGCATAGCTGAAGAGTCTTCCCAAGTAGCTGCCTATTCCTCTAAGTGTTGTTGATTGCCTACAGTGGAATGGGGTGAATGAAAGACACTAAGAATGTGGCACAATCTTTGCTCTTAAACTGCAGATTCACATAAACCAACAGTGTATAAAACTGACAGTGTGAAGGGCATTTAGAAGTTTCACCAAGAAGGTGTGACTTGAGCTGAGCTTTGGAAAACATGTAGCATTTGGATTAAGAGAGGGCATTGCAAGTAGGCAGTATTGAAGCATAAATGAAGATACAAATATGGGACAAATGAGTCTTACCCAAGGACTCATGATGGGACCAGCCTAGCTCTGGGAGCTTTGAGCTGGGAAGTCGTAAGAACAAGAAGTGTCCCTGACTCCTGTCTCCTCGCAGAACTCTCTTACTTGAATACACTTTTGACAAATCTCTGCCCAATTAATACATACCAGTTTTCTGATTCTGTTACCCGTGGTCTTTCAGGAATGCCTTGTCCACTTTCCCATTCCCCAGCATTTCTGAGAAATGGTCGTTCAGCATCTGTTTGAATACTCCAGATAATGAGAGGCTCGTTCCCTCACACAGCAGCCCTTTCCACTGTTAGCTGCTTCCAGTTATTAATGAATTGTTTCCTAATTTTGATCCAAAATCTGTCACCATTCAGCCAGTTTTTACCATTTCTCAGAACTTCTGAGGCATACACAACACACAGGAACTTGTGAGAACTTCACAAGTTACCTCTCCTCTGTATTACAGCCCTTCAAAAACGTAAGGCAAGCTAGAATGTTTCCCTTTAGCTTCCTTCTTTCTAGGCCAGTGGTTCTCAAATTTGAGTCTGTATCAGAAACCCCTGGAGGGCTTGTTAAAACACAGATTGCTGGGTTCCACTCCCAGAGTTCCAGATTCAATAGGTCTTGGGTGTGACATGATAATTTATATTTCTAAAAAACTCTGAGGAGATGCCAGTACTGCTGGTCCAGGGTCCACACTTTGACTACCTTAGCTCTCGTCTAAACTTTCCCAGTTCATTCAGCTCTTTCACTTATCATTGCTGGAATAATTATCAGTTAGTGAAATGGCAGACTCACTCCATAGAGAAATGGTTTTCATGGTGTATCCTGGTGATTAAGATCATAGGCAACCTGGCTATGTCCCCTTGCTAGCTGTGTGATCATCAGCAAGTTGTTTAACCTCTTCAAGAATTCAATTTTCCTTATCTGTAAAATGGGGATAATCATTGTCCGTTCCTCATGAAGTTAAGTGTGAGGATTAATTGCGTTTGTGTATATAAAATGCTTCAAACAGTGCCTGGCCCACTGTCATACCCAATGCACTTTAGTTACAATTATAGTAATGAAATACCCCTTTTTTAGTATTACTACAAAGTGCCTCATGCTTCCATAGATATTATGTATTTTCAAGGAATGATGTTAAATTTCAAAGAATAATGAATATATATAATGTTCCTGAGCAGATATTACACAATGCAGCAATAGGCCATAAATCAAAAGAGCTGGTTGTGAAAAATAGCTTTTTCACAGTCTTGTAAAATCTACCTATCTTTTTCCTGATTGTGAAAGACTTCCCAGCCCCAGTATTTATTACGTAGATGATCTTAGGCAAATTTCTTAACCTTTCTATGCTTCATATTCCTTTTGTAAAATATTAGTTATTTTCATGTTGACTATTATAAAATGCTTCTGAAAACACAAAAGTCTAATGAAGAAAATTAAAATTACCCGTAACTCTACCACCCAAAGATAAATACTATTTTTACTTTGGTGTGTGTTTTCTACTCAATTCTTCTAAGCAGATCTTTTTTAACGAACCTGAGATCTGATTGTAATTGCTGTTTTTCAACTTGTTTTTTCACTTAACATTATATAATATTTATCTTCTCATTTTATCTAAAATTTCTGAAATTATCCTTTTACTGATTGCATAATAATTTACCATAAGGCATATGTAAACACATTTAGACATTCTGCTGTTATTATACTTTTAGATAATTTCCAATTTGCTGTCAAAATAAATCCTTAAGTAAATATCTTCGTGTAGAACTGTCTAAATTTCTGAGTCTGCCCTTAAAGTAATGTGTTGCAAATTTAAATTACCTAAGCAAGAGTATGAATGTTTTTGTTATACTTGGTACATATTCCTGAACTAAAATGATGTACTTTATTCTTTACCAAAATACGTTGTTTTGTCTTGCCAAATTCTTGGTAGGGCTACACTAATCTTTTAAACAACTAAGTATATATTAGTCCCAAAAGTTCTGCTGATTTTCTAACTTTTTCAGACTATTAGCATTTTTTTTAATCTTAAGGAGGGATTCAAATCAAGACTTACAAAAAGATTGCCTTGTGTTGGAAGTCTAAAGAATCCTTGTAATCATCCTCTGTTAATGTCAAATATACAGATGTGCCAAATCACATTTCAGGATTTTTCCAAATATTATTTGTAGTATTGAATGTTAATAATCCTTTTCTATAGGGACTGCCTCTCATACTTCTCTCTGTGTCTATCCTATTTATAAAATACTTCTAAATTTGTTTAAAAAGGTAAGATCTAGCCAAACAGGAAAGGGCTACTTTGAGAGCAAAAGTGAGAGCATAAGCAGCCCTCAGATTGCACTTGCCTTTTGAAAGAAGTGCCATCGTCTCCCACAGGAACTGGGAAATTCCTTTCTGTATTCCCACTGTCATGGAAGGCATATACACACATAATTTATTTTAAAGTTTTAACATTTATTATCGTAGTCAAGTGAAATTGAGCTTTAAGTTTTAGCATTTATTGTCATAGTCAAATGAGATTTTAGCTTTTTAAAAACTTAATGGAATAGTGGAAACTGAAAGAAACAGCAGTTCATTTAACCTAGAATAAAGAAGAAGGGAAATGGGTTATACTGAACTCAAGTAATACTGAAAGGTTCAGCAGACAGTCACCCTCAGAAGAACTGCTACATGTATCACATGTATCAAGTTGTGGAAAATATTTCTCCTTATTCAGTTAGATTTAGTTTTTTATTGTCAGGGTAGATTGACTAAAATTCAGATTAGCTCTAGTGAAAGTTACATCACAGACACAGGATTTCCTCCATTAGCCAAGTTGGGAAGGGAGATAGGAACCAAGCTTCCAGAAGGGCTTCTGAGATTCCTGCTCCCTCACATCTTGGCTTCTTTCCTTCTGGGCCTGGAAGTTTGCAATAAATCTCAGCTGCCTAATTAGCCAAACCTCATTTGGGGAGGTGAGTGTGTGCATCTCCCTGTTGGGAACTGGCCAGTGCTCGTTTGAACAGTGACACTTGGTTGTCTGTACCTTATTTAACCAACTGAATGAGAACTGACCACATACAAAATTTCTCAAGAACTTTGTACATCATTCAACTACTCATGTACCTGTATTTGCTTCCATGTTTCCCATCTCTTCACTGAAGAAAGCTTTGCCACTCTAAAAACATAAATGTACGTGTGTGTGTGTGTGTGTGTGTGTGTGTGTGTGTGTGTGTGTGTGTGTGTGTATTTGTATCTTTATACATACACTTTTAATCATGGCGAAGATATCATTTTCCAGTGCATCTGGTGCTCTGGAGTTACTCTTTAATATCACTATTCTTCTTGGCACTGATCTAATAAGAGTCCTGAAACCTGCTAAGTAAAATCATATGTGGAAATCTTCAGTACACATCTTTGTGGCTTTGGGGAAAGAGGGGAATTAGTGTGAAACCTGTAAATGTGTATTAAAGAGAAACCTTACATTAAAAAAAATGAAGTAGCTGTCTTCAACTGATAAATTAATCATGAAATTCTAGCCATAATTTTCAAAATAAAGGCATTATAAGTGTTGCCACTTGGAAGGAACACAGACCTCGCTCTCACTGAACCGTGCGCGGAGCAGCCACGAAGAGCGCCATGCTGAGGAGCAGCCATTTTGGATTTTCCTTCATCTAAGTAGCCTTCCTTTTCTGGCCACTTTTAAGAGTTTTCTTTTTATCAAATTTGAAAGTCTATTTAACAGGCTTTTAGTTGGAAATGAAACTATAAAAACCCACCAAGAGGATCTTTGTCTTTAAAGAAAGTGAGTCCCAGATGGTTGCAAAGATTCTGTGGTTTCTCTGAGAGACAGCAAAATTCTCTTCTAAATCTCATGGGGCCCAAAGGTTTTGAAGCAAGAGCAGTGTGCATGCACTGCCAGTCCTGGGCACGTTGAGAATCACAACAGAGTTAAATACTGCCTCAGAGCTTCCAAACGTTTATTTGAAGTTAGGTGTTGCTTGGCATCATAAGACTATCATGAGTGTCTAGTAACCCCTAGCATATACTAAAGAAAAACTTGTTGCTAATTAAGGACTCATAGTTCAATTGACTTCTGTTTTTGTCGTTGTGGCAACATTGTTTTAAAAGATTCCAATGGCCAGAGTATCTAGCAGAAATGTGACAGTTAAGCACAACTTGGTTTTTACAGATGTGTTCCTTCTAAAGAAAATTCAGAGGAATAGATAGTTGGAAATAAATGTTTAAGAAAATACTAAACCTCACTATTTAAAAAATGCAAATTGAAACAACAATGACATTTAATTTTTGGCCTCCCAATCTAGCAGGTTTGTTTTGGGTAGAAGTTCATTAATAGATATTCATATTTATTTGTGTAAATAATAATATTTTAAATGATGGTTACAAAGTATTAATGCCATAGGAAAATTATCATTTGGGATGTTGCAGCTTGAAGTTACAAAGTAGGCCTTTTAATCTTCATAGCCAGTGAATGAGGATGGTACTATTATTGTTCCTATTTTAGATCTATTATCTCATGTAACAGGAAGGAAGAAGGTAGGTTTGCTGTCAGTTAATCACGCAGCTCAGTGCTGGATCTGTTTCCCTGCTGCCCTCTTGGATTTGCCTTCCTTGTCTCAACGTGGCTGCAAAAGCAGAATGTGTCCTAATATCTCCCACAACAGAAAGGAAGGAGGGCTTTCTCTTCCCAAAGTGTCTCCCTTATTATCAAAGAGTAAGACCTTTCCCTTTTCATATCCGTAGTCATGTTCACCCCTAACCTGATCATTGGCAAAAGGAGAATGCAATCGATCGGATTAGCCGGGCTCGCGACAGTACGGCCTCTGAGGGCCATGGGAGATACCCACGTTTCCTGGGTACCTTGCTGCTTTTTGATACCTAAACCAAATCAGGGTTTTTACAGCAAGGGACCAGCTATTTGGAGTGGAACCAAGGGTGGCTGCCATATTTATGTTATGATAGCAGCCTATATTCTCTTTTCTCTAGTTTCTAAGTTTTCTTAATTAGTGGGTATTAATTTTACAAGAGACAGCAGAAAAACAGATCCAGCACTGAGTTGCTTAATTAACTGACACCGAACCTGCCTTCTTCATTCCTATTACATGAAATAATAAATGTAAAATAGGAACAATAATAGTATAGTCTTATCAGGGTGATTAAAACACACCTATCACCACAGGGGATTGTCTGGGTCAGAGGATCCGAGTAACAGCAGGCAAGTTATTCAACATCTCTGTGCCTCCGTTTTCCCTTGTTAAGAAGTCTTTTATATGGTTACTGTGAGAATAAAAGAGTTAATTTGCAACAAGGCTTTGTATTGGGTTTCTCCAAAGAAACAAATGTACATATATAGACTAAGGAGAGGGAGAGATTTATTATAAATTGGCTTACATGGTTATGGAGGCTGAAAAGCCCAAAAACCTACCATCTGCAAGTTGTAGCCCCACCGGAGTGTATAGTCCCAGTCTGAAAGCCAGCAGGCGAGAGACCCAAGAAGAGCCAGTGTTTCGGTCCGTGTCCAATATCCAGGAAAACCCACGTCCTCGCTTGAACAGCCAGTCAGGGCAAGTTCCTTCTTACTCAGCCTCTTTGTTCTAGTCAGTCTTCAGTTGATAGGATGAGGTCCACCCATATTAAGGCCAACAATCTGCTTTACCCAATTTGCCAATTCAGAAACACCTTCTGAACCTCCTCCAGAAACACCTTCAAAGACACACACAGAATAATGTTTGACCAGATATCTGTATGCCCCATGGCCCACTCAAGTTGACACAAAATTAATCATCACATGCTGAGACCTGTAAGTGTATATGTCTGTGTGTTTATGTGTATATGTGTGTGTAATAATAATATATATATATGTGTGTGTGTGATTATTATTTTATAATCTGGAAATATATTACAAATAAGGACATCCAGTATGTGAAAGTTCTGTGTTCCCCAATCATGGTGAATATTTGTATTACAGAAGAATTTGCTTTCTTAAAGTATTCACTTCATAAGAATAAATTTTGCATTGTCTTTTCAATTTCAACTAATTTAAGAGATATTCTTAATACCTACTATGAAGTATATACTCTTAGCTGCATAAAAAAGTTGTATAATCCACAGGTTTAATAGATAATTCTGTGTGTTTTATAAAGATACATGCTTCTACACTATAGGAAAAACCTGAATAAAAAAATTCAGGTTTTTAGGTAGGTATCTGAGTTAACAGTTGTTTTCTACTACGAGTTCATGAGAGATCTCTTATTGCACAGAGTACAAGTCCTTGGAAATCAGCTTTAGGGGACAGACTAATCACAATTTCCTCTCAGCTGCTAGAGCTGAAGTCTTGTTTTCAATCCCTACCCATTTTGACCTCCACATTATTTGATACCATTGACCACTGCCTCCTGTTCAATCTCTTCTCTTGTGGCTTCATCAACACTACTTTCTCCTGGTTCACTGCTACACTCCTTTACCCTTTCTGCAGCCCTTTCTCTGGCTTCTCGCCTCTGCATCTGACCCTAAAGTGTTGGTCAGTTGCTGGGTTTGAGCCTCCAGCCTCTTTTCTAGGTAAACTATCTTCTGTCCATTTGCCATTTGCAAGACTTTCATTCCACAACTCTTATTTCCAGTCCCACCTTCACTATCAAGCACATGACCAGTATTTCCAGCTGTGTATGGACCCTGCTTCTGTTTCTGTGCTTTGAGTACCGCAAACACAACCAAATCAAAATCCCTTCTTTCGTTCCAAGCTTCTTTTTCTTCTGGTACTCTCTAAATAAGCTAATGACTTCATTTTCACTCCATTAAAATCTACATAGTTTGCTGTGTGAATGATTACATATTTCCAATTCATGAAATCTGGATTGATGGAGCCATATTTGTTTATTCATTTACTGTCTTTTAGATTATCATCTTTGGAAGACAGATCATCTGTAGTTACTTATCTCAAAGCATAGAACTAAAGGTCGTTCAGCATTATGTTGGTCAAGATGGACAAGCTGTAGTTCGAGAACATTTTGACTGCCTCACAGCCAAACAGAAATTGCCTTCATACATCCTAGAAAACAGTGAACTGACAGAGTTGTGTGTGAAGGCCAAAGGTGATGAAGACTGGTCAAGAGATGTGTGCCTGGAATCCAAGGCCCCTGAGTATAACATTGTCATTCAGGTAGGAGGAGTCTAGAATTGGGCAAACTTCTCACTATGCTATTTATTCAATATAGTCCTTAATTTTTTTTAAGTGGTCTGTACAAAAGAGGGAGATCTGAAATAATATAAAAAAGCTTTGAACATTACTTCTCAAACTATTTCCTCCCCATCTCACAACTCATTTGTATCAGTTCCAGTAGTTAGTATAGCCAAGACACTACCCCTCCCAGATAGAGGCAAGTTGTATTTTGGAAAAGATTCTGAAGCCCCAGGGTTGGGGCGTGGCAGGAGGAGGAGTTTGGGTACAGGGTCCCACCGGGGTATCTTCATGATGGTCTGTGACTTTCTGCTCTTCCTCATTCTCCACCATCATCACTTTGATTCCCACAAAGGACCTGACCTCTCATTCTCCCACTCAGTCTTACATCAGTCTCTCCTCATTTAAACTCCTTCATCTTTATGGAAAGCATTAGCCCCATTGACTCACTGCACATTCACTTCATGCCATAATGAATCTGCTTTTGCTTAGTTATTCTCTTTTTTAATGGCTCCTTTCTATAACTTCAAACTTTTTAATCCTCCAAACTGTTGCTGTAAATGTGCCTTATTTTGATTAGTGAATTGTTTAATATTGACTAGGACCCTCTTCTGGCTCATCTGCAGGTGCCATCTTCAAACAGTTCCATAATTTATGTCTGGTGCACAGTTTTGACTTTAGAACCCAACTCTCCAGTGCAACAACGAATGGTGAGTGCTTTCCAGCCCTAAAATATGGTATATGACTCTGACCTTTCCTGTTCTGAAATAAATTAAGGTCAAAGTGACCCAGAGAAGAGATTTATTGCAAGTCTGTTTCAGCATCAAACAGCTGGAATACTGCAACAAAGCAAATATGAATGTTGTTCTGTCCTTTTATTTTTATAGATTGTGTTCAGCCCTCTTTTTATCATGAGGAGTCATCTTCCAGAATGATTTCTTATGAGACTGTTATTTTAAAGTTGCTCTGCCTGATCTTATCTTGTGCTTTTCTATTGTTTTAGATAAAATTCAGCCTCTTTTGTTAAGCTTAGAAATAAACGAGGGATCATCAGAAAATTTAACTGATATATCATTTCTCTAATGGAAGAAAATACGAACAGAGATCTCACCCAAGCACTGGGGTGGGGAGCAGTCAGGGGTAGAGGGAGAGGAAAAGTCAGGGCCCAGATCATCCAAAAGCTGTGTCATCAATCCCTAAATCACCAAAAATTTACTCAGTATCACAAAAAAATGGTCTATAATGCATTCATAGATTTTTCTCAATAAATTGTACACAGCTTTAAAAATCTGATATTCTTATTTTTTCTTCCCATTTTCTAGAGAAGAAGATGATCCTTCACATTGTGCAGTTCCCATCTCAACATCCCTCATTAAGCAAATAACCACTAAGATACACCCTGGAGGCACAGTTAATCAGATCCTTGATGAATTTTATGGGCCAGAAAAATCCCTTCAACCCATGTGGCCCTATAATAAAAAGGATTCTGACAGGTAATGTTCTGCAATCTTTTTCTACCAACATATCCCAATATTATTAAGAAATGATCATTCACAAAAGTGTTAGACACCATGAAAGGTGTTTTAACAAGGATATTTGCACATATCTGTCAGATTCTGACCATTTATCATCTAGTAGATGTATTTTGTAGATTGTATCACTCATAATCTAGAACATAATTTCATGAAAAGTTTCTTTCTCCTGGGTGCAAATTCAGCTTTGGATAACTCTGGTATGAAGAGGTGTCATATAGGAGTGTTGTGTGTCTGGAATCCTTAAACGTATTTCATGAATACTGCAGTCATCATATTTCATTGAGCCTGTTGGATGTGGTATTTGGAACAGGAATGAACAGCTGAGTCAGTGGGATAGCCCGATGCGAGTGAAGCTGTCAGTCTGGAAGCCATATGTTAGAACCTTGTTGATAGAACTTCTGCCCTGGGCCCTGCTTGTCAATCAGTCCAAGTGGGACCTCTGGCTCTTTGAAGGAGAGAAGATTGTTCTCCAGGTTCCTGCTGGCAAAATTATTATCCCTCCTAATTTTCAGGTACTATAACTTTTTTTTAACTAATATGAATTCTTTTCTTTCAACAACTAGCTTTTATTCTGAGGTTGCATTTATGTTCTTAATAGAATGAATCAGTTGTGGAAAACTGTCCTCTTAGATGTATATGTATGGAGTATGGAATGTTCTTTGATATTCAAAGACATTTCAGATGTCTTTTTTTTTCCTTATCAGCAGTTTCCATGCTTGAGTTATCATTACATTTGATAACTCGTATTAGTTACATTCTCATTTCCATTGTGTACAGGATATTTGACAAGCATCAGGATTGGCCAACTTAGGATATGTTAAGGATATAGAGCCATATCCCTTGCTCACTCACCTCCTAGGTATTTTTGTGGTTCTTAAAAAAAAAAAATTACCTGAGATCTGCAGTATGGGTAAGAATTGAGGATTTCTGAGCAACCATTTTTGTCAGGGCCCCTTTTCCTTTATAAGTGGATTTAGATGTCCACAATCATGGATGCCCACCCAGTTGTTGACAATAACAATGTGGAATCAGTCCTGACAGGAGGGAAAAACAAAGCTATAGAACAGAATTTCACAGAAGATTTTATATCCATCACAAGAGAACTTTCCTGATAAGGCTAACCCATTTCAAAAAGGCACATAAATCTATAAGAAAATAGTGTACAAAGAACTCTTATATAAAATACATTCCTGATACAAAAAGTCCTATCATTTTTTTTAGCTCTAATACATAACCATCTTTATTCAATTGCATTTTTCCTTTTTTTTTTTAAATAATAAGATGATGTTACCTTATGGAATTGGAATGTTGACCTACATGTAACTAATATCACATATTATTATTTTGTCAAATGAAATGAAACCTTCAGTTTTCACGCCTTTGGTGAAAACATCGGAAACCAAAATAAAATGTGTGTTGCTATTACAAGAAGAAAAAAATATATAAAGGGGTTTGGTTGCCTAAGTAGACCTACTATATAATATAAAAAATTCCTGCTAATTGAAGTAAACATTCCAAAGTAAAAAAAAATACTTTATAATCAAGGCATTATTTTTCCAGGAAGCTTTTCAAATTGGAATATACTGGGCAAGTACAAATACTGTGCACAAGTCAGTAGCAATTAAACTGGTCCATAACCTGACTTCTCCAAAGTGGAAAGATGGAGGTAATGGTGAAGTTGTATCTTTGGATGAAGATGGGTCCGTTGATGCTGAAATAAGACTTGGTGCTTTCCCAGGACATCAGAAGGTAGGAACCAAATCTGTGTAGCTCAGGAGAAATAGCATGCCATCCCTTCAACCCATTTTAAAATCAGGCTACCCTTTTTTTTTTTAATCCCTTTTTGATATTACTTGTTCTACACAATTTGTAACAGTGAAATACATGATTTCTTAGACCTGTTTTGCTTTTTTTCCCATTACCAGTGATAAAAGCTGTATCACATAATTTATCCAATATCTGCTCATTTCAGAACACTGGGAAGTCTCTTGATTAATCATATGTGGGGAAAAATGAACTTACTCCAAAATATCCACAAATTGTAGTTGACCTTTTTTAGAGCAGGAAATTGAATTGCTGACTTCCTGAACACTGAGTGGAAAGGACAGAAGCTCCTGTAGCAAAGATTATATTCCTGGAAAGGGCATGGTGAGCAGAATGATGTGGATCGATTCTGATTGCCTCATAGAGCCAGGTGTTACTAGAGGGCATTGTATTCTTCAATGAGGGACTGCTACCCATGTTTGTAAAGATATAAACACAAAAAACGTATTTAATCAGTTATTTCACTAAATATAAATGGCATGTGGTTTCTGCATAAATCTTTTCTAAAGTCTATGAAAACCAATTAAGCTGAATAATATAGTAATGAATCACATTAAATAACACATTTAATAAATAAATAAAAATAAATCACATTTCATACATATTGTGTATGAAAGTACAGTATTACAGTGTACCAAACAGAGGTTTCATGCTATACTTAACAATATTTGTTAATCTAGCCCTCCCAAATCAGAAAAAGAAGGGATACTTCATCAGAGTATTATAATTCAGAATGACCTTTCTCGGGGGAGAAGTTAGATTTTGACAGGCATCTTTGAAGAGCCTCTTGAGAAAAGTTAGGGTCATTTGGTGACTTTTTAAAAATAAATTTCTCTGATACAAAGAACCTGGTCTTCCCTCAGTATTCAGGGCTGGTATCCATTTCCTCAGAGTTGTCTGGGAAACACATGTTTATGCTCTGCCAGCCAAAATACTGTAACATGGGTGTAAGTGGCAAAGAGTTGTAAGCGTGAATCACCCTAAGTTGAATAATAGCAAGTTGAGAACTACCATCAAAACCTGGAAAGAATGTTATGATACATAGTCAAACACCCAATACCTCCAGCACCTCACAAAGTTGCCACAGCAAGTGCTGAATAAATGTTGTGAAGAAATAAACCAACTGTTGGAAAATATACTGTTATATATATTCCTATCTCATTGGTCTTTAGTAGTGCTTCTCAAACTTTTTAGTCTCAGGATTCCTATACACTCTTAAAAATTATTGAGGACCTCCAAAAAGTATTTCTTTATGTGGGTTATATCTATGGATATTTATCAAATTAGAAATTAAAATAAAACTGTAAAACATAAGAATATACAAACATATGTTCCATTAGCCATGAGAGCAATAGCATCATACTTCATATGACATCTGGAAAACTCCACCATACACTCATGAAAGAATTAGAGTGAAAAGATAAATAGCATCTTAGTATTATTAGAAAATAGTTTTAACCTTTGGACCTCCTGAAAGGATCTTGAAGACCCCCCATCAGGGTCTCCAGACCACACATTGAGAACTGCTGTCCTGACATTACCACTTAGTAGATGGGTATCATTAGGCAAGTAATAACATGTCTGAATATCAGTTCCTCATACTACATGAGATAGGTAATGAGATGATACATGTGGTCGAGAGCAGCAACATAGAACCAGGCTGCATAGTTTCCAGCCCCAGCCAGACCCTCCTGACTTTGCTACCTTGGGTATCTTACTAACCTCTTTGTGCCTCTTTTTCCTCATCTGTAAAATGGGGATAATAGTAGCTTACCATGCGTGGATGTTGAGGATTCTGTGAGTTAATACACATAAGTACTTAAAACAGGTGGCACACAATAAAGCAATATATGAGGTCAGTCATTATTGTTTTCTTCTTCCTCGTCATTATTAGAGTTCTCTCAGAACTGCCCTTGGTCCATAATAGGCGTTCAGCAAGATAGCTACTGAGATGGCCATGAGGAAAAGAAGAAAGAATGCTTAACTGAATTATTTTATGTTGAAAAAGACAAGTGGCATCTGTTTATATATAAGTATTTTGTAAAAAAAATATTTTGTGAGGGAATTGGTTGAAAAACAAGTCATTACAGAGTAGCAGCAAAAATAACTGATTTGCTAAAATACTTTGTTATACAGAGTATATAGTGGCCCCTTTAAGGGGCTAGGACATCTTTGAGACTGAGAGGGGACTCTCTTAAATACTCTGAAACAAAAGGTAAAATTGGTACTGTCCCAGGCAAACCAATAGATAAAATGACCTAAAAACAAGAGATTTTTATATGCTTTGCAATATTTTTCAAATTACTCTCTCCTCAATTGTCTTGCAGTTATGTCAGTTCTGCATTTCTTCCATGATACAGCAAGGCATACAAATTATTCAGATTGAAGATAAAACTACCATAATCAATAATACGCCATATCAGATATTTTATAAACCACAATTATCTGTCTCCAAGCCCCATTCTGGAAAGGAGGTAAGCAGTTCATGGCATGATTGATTTGTCTCAAGGTTTGCCAAATTAACAATAAATAGAATCAACTTTTTTTTTAACCTAAAAAAATGAAAAGTTAACACTGAATACAGGTAAAGAGAAATTCATTTATTTGTGATTTAATTAAAGCCATGGGTGTCAGGTTCAGTGCTTCCAAGGTAATGAATGAGCTGAAATCCTATGAAGCGGCAGGTCCTGCCACACGGCTGGGTTAGTACTGCCTGCGCCGCATCTGCTCAGAGGCTGCAGCACACTCATCTGGCACGCTCGCTAACCCAAAGGACTGGCTCCGAGGCTGTGGAAAAGAACATCTGCCTCCCAGCCATGGTGCCTGACAGAGCTGTGCGGGAGACCCTGGGCCCCTTCTAAGCCACAGGTCCGGGAGCACTGAGCTCTGAGGAAATGTGAAATGTGCCAGCTCATTTTGTCAGCTTCTCAATCAGAATATGCAGAAAATAAATCCAAGAAGGATTTTTGATTCAGGTCTTTATACAATCAAAATAAAAGTTTTATTTTGAAAGAATAAGGAGATATTTTAAAAGGACTTAGAAACAATGTGCTAAGTGGTCTGCTGTTGTTTCAGTGGTCTGCTATTGAAGCTCTCATATAGGAAGTATTATCTTTCTTTACTTTCGTCTGCATTTATTGTCATCCCTTACCTTTACCTCCTAAAAATTACACTAGACCAATAAAACAGGCTGAAAGTTTTACTCTGCTAAGTGTACAGTTCACTGTAGAATTTAGAAAAATGTCACAATAGAATGCCACCTTGGTTCATTGAAGTATTGATAAAATAAATAGGTGACCAGAAGCACCCGGGTGGGAAATAGAGTATGTATACTATGGGTGAGAATTTGACAGATGTCCTGGAAATTCTCCTGCTGCTCCCGACCCTGGGGCTTCCTGAAACAGAGGGTCAGCGCTTCCATCATGACACACCCTCGGCTGAAGACGGGCATAATTTTGCATGCCTTGCGGGTCTGTGGTGAAGATTAAATGAGGTACTGTGAGTTAAGGGTACTGAGCAAGTGTCACAGCCAGCAGCATCACTGAGCTCCTGATGCGCCTCAGCTTCCAGGAGAGACAGGGAAGGCCCACGTTCTTCCCTGCAGCTGAGGAGCGGCCCTCTTTTCAACCCTGCCCCTGCTGTAGGCAGCTGTGAGGATTTTTTTTTAAGACATGATAATCCACACTGTTCCAGTGTGGGACAGTGGGAAAGCACCAAACTGGAGGCAGGGAGCTGGCCACTGGTCGGCTCTATAGTTGGACAAGTCGTCGCCTCTGGAAGGCAGCTTCCTGCACTGGGGAAGAGGAGGTTCAAATAAATTATCTCTAAAGGTTTTTTTCATGTCTAAAATTCTGGCTCTCTAATATGCCAGAAACCATGTGGAATTCCAACAGACGGTTGGAATCAGGTTCCATCTCCCTCAGGATGAGCCTTAAACAAAACTTGTCTCCTGAGCTCTTCATTCACTGTTGTATATCCCAGCAAATCTTTTCTTCCCAAGGTCCCCCAGAGTGCCACACTCAGTTCAGCCGGACCTGCCGAAGAGGAGTCCCTCCTCGCCAGGCGGCACATCTGCCCCTACAGCATCTGGGTTTTTGCAGTTCCTGGGGGATCCTGAGAACTCTTAAATTCCCCCATCCTTACCATGTTCCATTATGTCTAGAAAAGCAGACCCTAATCCCACTGCTTATAATTGTCCCATTAGGGCTTTCAGATGGGAACAAGATTTCTGATTCCCATGTCCCCCAACCTGGCCGCCTCCTGAGAATACATAGTTATGGATTCTTAGAAGCTGTGCTTTAAAAAGCTTGACTTCTCTGTATTGCTATATTAAATGTGCTCTCTCTGCGTTGTCCTTTCTTTTTCCAGTATTTTCCCATTCCAGATAGTGCTACATTCAGCGTCTGCCCAGGTGGAGAGCAGCGTGCTGTGAAATCCAGCTCCCTGCCTTGCTGGGACTTAAGGCCTGACATCAGTCAGTTGCCTTTGGATGCATCCCTGCTTCAGAAGCAGATCTTGCTGGCCTTTGCTCCTGACGCAGGTGCTGACCACTCACGGGGCTGGAGCCTGCCAGCGATGGTTAGGCAAGACTTTCCCAGGCAAAGTGTGGCTGTGCCCTTCCAGAATTGTAGGGAAAATGGATTTTGTACCAGGTATTTTCCATAAATGTGAATGCCCTTCTTTGCTTGTCCTGATAGCTATTCATCAGGGTGCCAGGAGAGACTGGAGAGTAGTTGCAGTGCTCACCACACGTAAAACTAAGTTCCACATTTACTTTTAATGGCTTCTAGACATTGTATATGATTGGTCAAATGTTATAATCACATATGAGTTCCCCCAGTGTGCTAGTGATGAGCTTTTTTTCCCTTATGCAGCTTATACTGGAAAGAAATGATGGTGTTTCTCCAAAGAATAGCAGCAATACATCATAATGAAAAGATTGCCTTCTTTTATGACTTTTAGCTTCTGTCAAATGATGAGAAATAAGGGTTAAAATATAAGAGGCTCAAGTTGGAAAAACTTTTTCTTTTCCCATATTTTGCTTTTACTTCAAAATGGAATTTTTCTTTAAAAGTCATTAAGAAAGATAACTTAGATAAACACAAGTCACAGAAGACTCTGTTCTGTGGTTGTTCCTGCACACAAGTTACTCCAATTACTGATTACCAATTATGCAAATAACAACCACAGAGTCAAGCCAGAGACATGTAACTGTTTGTTCAAACTAGACTTCTATTTTATGGTTGTTTTGCATGCAATATGTCCTTTCTGTTACTGTCAGAAGTAACTTATTTATGGTATATGTGAGGAGCACTAAAGAAAACATTGTGATTCATGAGAGGTAGCTTATTATTCTCATGATTATGAATTTGTAGACTGAGATTTTCACTGTCCTAACTTTTTGATGTGTGCAGAGATTTCTAGTAGTACTATTTTCACAGGTAACTTCCTAATTCAAGTAATCCATAATAGTAAGCCTGTTCTCTACACACATCCCTTCTTCCTTCATTACGTTCAGAGACATCCCGTTTTATAAACAGTCGTCATCCCTAACTCTGGAGTGGAGTGGTTATCCTTATAGTCTCATTGGAGGAGTTAAGTGTGGTAAGTTTCAGGAAGTACTGTTCAAAGTGGTATAAACCTATGTAGGTCTAGAAAACAAAACTTTTATATTTAAAACTGAAACAGAATTTTAAGTAAGATTTCATTTAGAAATAATCTTTAAAATTCTAAGAATTATAAGACATGATTGTATTAGTATAATTTAATCATATCTATTAAGATATATTAATATAAATATATACAGTATGAATGTAAATATAAACCTATAAATACTAAGGCATTAGATTGAAAATACCACAAGTCCTGGCTCGCAGCTTTGTTGGCAGTAAAAAAGAAATTCTCTGAGGTCGGCTTGCGCAGCTCTTTCAGAGTCAGGCTGGGGAGGGAACGTTGGTGTCAATCCAAGGACTGCTCGGAAAGTGAATTCGCCTCCTGCTCCCCTTCCTCTCTCCCCCCCACCTCGGTCTAACAGCGCACTCTAATGGTGGTGTTATTAATGTTATTTCCCCAAATATTAACCTCGGCATTTGCGGGCAAATAAAATCTCTGGGAAGGACACACACTGGTGAACAGGATAAATGGAAAATGGAAAAATCTTTAGTGCATTGTTGACCCCTTTTCATCGGCATGCAGTGAGGCAAATACCTGATTTTTTTATTAATTTGAACAATCAGTCTATGTAGTTTAAATTCCAGAATTATTTTTTCCTGCAATGATATGAAATATTGTTTGGTAGTCTACAGGTCTAAATTGGGACATTTCTCTCTCTCCATTGTAGAGGGTAGCTTGTGCCCACACAGCAATTTTTCTAATGCCAATTAATGCATCTTTGCTCCTGGTAGTCAAAATGGAGATCCTGTAAAATATAATCTTGTGAAAATTGACAACAAACATTTTGAGTTACCTCCCTTTAGAATTAAAAAAAGTAAAAAGCACCTGAATTCCCTAGTAGTCTCTCTAAAAACACATCAGCTCCTCCTTTGCCAAAATGTACCACTTTGCCAAAAAGTACCAAGCACTTTTGAGGAAGAAGGCACTCCATCTGAAGAGTGTGAGCACATTTGCATAGAGGAAAAATGAGCAGGAAAGGTCAGCACAAGGTTAGCTGAAATCTCAGGTGGTAGTAGTTATATGTTTTTTTCTTTTAAGTAATTGTTCACACTTTTTAAATATTTTATGATGAAAATGTGTAACTATTGTCAGAAAAAAAGATCAGTAAACCTATCATTAGGGCATGGCAGTTGCCAGATGAGAGGATGGCCTTCTTAGGAAAACATTTCCTCTGATTTACAAAGGAGAAGGTGTTAACAGAGTTCTGAATATTGCAAATCTAAGTAAACATATCCCAGAAGAGAAAGCATTCTTCTAAACCATTTCTGTTATCTGATTTTATTCCATTCTAGGGCTATCGCACTGACATATCAAGAGCACTTTGGGGTGATCTATTTAACCCTCTCAGAAGACCCAAGTCCTCGAATAATCTTCCATAACAGATGTCCAGTAACGATACTTATAAAGGAAAATCTTAAAGGTATCCTCTATAACATTGAATTTAAATAAAACAAAACCTACATTCTTTCTGGAGATTTTAAACTTAGCAGTTACCCGTGACCCTATGAAGAATGTTTGAATAAAATTATTGCTCATCCCTCTTTGAGGAGTTTTTCTTGGCACATTATATTTAATATCCCTAAGTCTTTGTCTGCAAGGCCTAACTAAGTCTGCATATCCCTTTTCTTTCTCTCTTTTTCTTCTTTTTTTTCAGATATTCCAAAGTTTGAGGTTTATTGCAGAAAAGTTCCTTCTGAGTGCTCCATTCATCATGAGCTATATCATCAGATTTCCAGTTATCCGGACTGCAAGACCAAAGACTCTCTTCCTAGCCTCCTTTTGAGAGTAGACTTGCTGGATGGAACGACAACGGAATGGAGTGATGCCATTGACATCAACAGTCAGGGAACACAGGTCAGCGAGTGGCGGATGACCCCGCCAAGGCCCAAGGAAAAATTCCCTTTTCTAAAGTTTCAGTGCCTATTTTTAAACATAGTTCTCTAAATGTTGAACTCCTTGTCTTTGTGTGAGGGGCATGTGTATACATTTTTACTTCCTATTAAGTTATAAATTCTCAAACACAAATATGTATCTCCAGGGTCTACTATATAACAGTTTACCAGAGAGAAGCACTTGATATAATGTCCTGATTTATCTCTGTCTTTCTCTGGTGTTAGTAGTGTTATTTTTGTTGAAAATAGCACATGAACCTAGCATTTTGTTCCTGCTGTACCTAAGATTTACATTTTTAAGTGTATAATTTCGTGGCACTAAACACATTCACAATGTTGTACAACTATCATCACTATCTATTCTATTATCCCAACTGAAACTATACACATTAACTCCCCATTCTCCTTTGCAGTCAACCCCTGGTAGCCACTATTGTGCTTTCTGTCTCTGAATTTGCCTGTTCTAGGCACCTCGTATAATTTGAATCATACAATATTTGTCCTTTTGTATCTGGTTTCTTTCACTTAGCGTTATTTTCAAGGTTCACCCATCTTGTAGCATGTGTCAGACTTTCATTCCATTTTATGAATGAACAATACTGTACTATACTTCCTGAAAGTTTCTTCACATCTATTAGGTAAATCATTTGATCTTCACAACAAGCTGGTGAAGTAGGTCCTTTTGTAATGGTTATAAAATACATATTAAAGTTATAAATATATTTATGGTAATAATAATGATTATCCTTTAATAATTGTATGCCAGGCATTGTACCAAGCACTTTACATTCATTCATACCTAACCTTTATAATCCAAGGTTGCATGTTACAGAGATGTAAACTGAGACCTCAGGGCATAAAGTGGCCTAATTCCCATGTGTGAACAGAGAAGGGCCTGGGGTTTGATCCAGACCTGCCTGACTCCAACATGTGTGCTCTGAACCACGTGCTAGGGATGAAGCTCCTTAGCTGGATTCCTTCCCTGCTGTCCTCCCCAGTCCCCCTGACACATTCTTTCTCAACTACCAAGACATTCTCTCTCTTCACTCCATGAAGTCTCTCCCCACCGCCCAGCCCCTCTACATGCTCCAGTAATATTTGTAACATTTGACTGCAGTTATTTCTTTAAATAACTTCCTACCAAGTCAAGATCCCTGGCCTTATTCATCCTCAGCCCTACAGCAGAGTGCCTATCAACACAGTAAAATCTTAATAAATATCAAATGAATAAATGAGTGACTGATGAAATGAATGAGAGATGAGGTTACCGAGGGAGATTGTGCAGGAGGAAAAGAATCCCAGGCTTCACCCCGGGCAACTCCAACATACAAGAACAGCGCAGCAGGAGAGGCTGGGCGGGAACAGGCAGAGTGTCGGGAAGAGCTGGGGCGGGGCAGGAGCACGGGCGCCCCCCGGAGGAGGTTCACAGGGTGTGAAATGGAAACACGGAAGCAAGATAACGCTTGGAAATTGTAAGTTCAGAGTGAATGTACGTGAGGAAGTAAAGGAACAGGTAGAATTGCTCCTTCGAGGAGCCAGCAGGGCGTGAAGCAGTGAGATCGGTGAGAAGGAGGCTCTTTCCATGCTGTGGGAGAGGGGTCAGTCAAGGAGCGGGAGATGTGGGGGGGTTTGCCCGCAGAGCCGGGTCCAAGGCACAGCGAGTGTGACTCCACTTGAACAGAAGGACCACATCCTCCTCTCTGACACAGGTCAGGAGAGAAACTTGGAGGCATGGGGCCAGGAAACTGAGTGAATTGATACTCAGTGGCCCTAAATTTGTTGGCAAGTATGGAATGAATCATCATCTAAGAGAGAGGCAATAGGGATGGAGGCCGTGGAGAGCATTATCTGTGGAAAGAGGTGAAGAACGTGGCCAGGGGACAGATGCAAGAACGGCTGAGCAGCCTGGGGGCCACACTCGCCTTGAAGACTTGAATTTGTAGTCAACCCAGACCACCTAGGGGTGTGATTTCCATCTACAGGCCTCATTTGATGAACACTGACAATCTGCTGAATCTGTGCAGCCTAGGAGATGTTCCTGGTCTTGTGAATTTACAAAATAATTGTTGCAGGCTTCTCAAGGGTCTCCAAACTCCCTGCCATCGGTTTGAAGATTTTTGAAGCCTCTCTTATATATGTCTAGGGAATTCTTTACAATAGGCATTCTGCCTGCCACACCTTATTTTGGGGATTCCCATTCCCTTTAAATTTCCTCAAACCTTTGTAGTCAGGGATACTTCAAAGCTAGGAGGAGGTGCTCTTCCCAACACCCTTATCATCCCTGGTCTGAGAACCAGCAGTCTTGGGTTCCCATTAATCTTTGAGGAACTGTGTGCCATCTGTCCTGCAGACCACGGTTTACTTCCTACTCTGGAGGAAGATTTGTTTCAGGCCCTCACCGACATCTCCTCAGTAATAGACCAGGGCACATAAATCACTGGGGGGCCCAGGGAGCCGTGTCCTCTGATGAAAGGAAGCAGCCCTTCTGTCGGAGGAGTTCATCTTCCAGGAGCCCTTCTCAGCGCTTGGTCTGAGGCACACGATGTGAATTTCAAAGCTTAGCTTAAAAAGCAGAATTAAAACACTATAAAATCCCCATTTTCCGCCAGGGAAAAAAAAACTCCTTTAGCTTTTGCCAGTCATGAAAAGCCCCTGCCTTGGTTTTGTGAGTAGGGCAGTGCCATGTATACTTTTGAAGTGGAATATGAAAGGGACTATACAGAAAATAACTTTATAATCACACAAAGATGTATTCTTTGGATCGAGAGTTATTGGGAGGACCTGATAGCATGTAGACCACAAAGTTCTGATTGTGAGCTGGTGTGGGTTTTCTGGGGCCATGTCCCTGGCTCACACCTGGTTAGAAGACATCGTATGGCTGTTCAGCCAAAGGCCCTATAGTAGCAACTGGTGCTCTTACCCATAATTTTACAGTGGATGATAGGCTGACATTAGGGAGAAAAATCTTTAGATATTCAGCAAATAAGTGTAGGCATAAAAAATAAGCTTACATTGATCATTTTATGTCATAATTTTGATCTTATCAGGGAGTTAGTGTTTAGAGCCCTAACATAGTTTATAGATTTCAGTTTCTGATAGGAGCCTTATTTTTGTCAGAATTAGGCAACATTCTTTTGAAAATTTTAAAACAAATAAACAGTACAAAGAAAACATAACAGTTATCATTTAACTAACATCATAAAGCATGCTCTGTCATCAATCCACAAATACTGAGTTTCTAATATGTGCCAGACATTATAACTTTGTACAGGGACTACATAAAATATAGCGAACAACAATGGAATGCAGCCATTGCCCTCAAGGAGATAACGTGTGGAGACAAGAGGGCAAGCGAGTCATCACACAAGTCATTGTACTGTGAACTCTGGTGAGAGCTGTCAAGGAGAGGTAGCATTGCACTGCTAGGGTGTACAGCAGCCTAGTTTGAGAGGCCAAGGGTGGTGTCTCCGGGCAAGAGACCTTGCCTTCAAGGATGAACAGACATTAAGTAGAGAAGAAAGGGGGAGATTTTTCTAGACAGAACAGCATATTTGAAGCTTTGGTGCTCAGAGAGGTCGCCTGGTCGTTTCAGGGGTCGAGATGCCAGGGTGGCAGTAATGTTCGTGAAGGAAAGCAGGGTGGAGGGAGGAGGCTAGTGCAGCAATTCAAGACCAGACCTTGCACGATCCAGTCAAGGATTTTGGTTTTTATCTTAATAGCCATGGGATGTCATTGAGTTGTTTATGAAAAGCAATTTCTGAGCCATTGAAATTGCAAAGAAGAATGAGCAGCTGAACTCCAAAAGGCAGATTAAAATTATCCCTTTTTTGCAGGTGAATTCTCTTCTAAGAAGATCCCAGAATTCTCATGATCTTTGGCTCTTAGTAGAACATAGTGGAGTCATTGTCGCTACTCTCTCTCAAGTGCTGTGCGGGTGGGGGAGGGGAAACTGACAGCTTCCACTCGTCCACAGTGTTTTCATACTCAGTTTCTGTTCTCTCATTCATTTATCTACCAAACCTTAAGTGAGGAACTGTCAAGGGCCAAACCCTTTGCCCTGAATAAGGCATTAACTCCTGCCCTCAAGGACCTAAGTGACTAAATAAATGCAGTCAAGTGTAGTCAGTCCTGAGACAAAGCCTGGTGAATTTTGATCACCACAAAAATCCTAAGATAGTCAAGGCAATAATTTTTATGTTTATTTTATCGATGAAAGGATTGAGGCTTAAAGAGTAGTCAGTCAGCTGGTTTTAGATGGTTTATAACTAAGCAAGATCAGGCTGGAACCTGGATCTGTACATGCGACCCAGTCTTGTTTTTCCTACAGCAAGCTGAGGTCAGTACCTACCTCTGAAGTCCTGCCCCGGCTACAAATATTGCTACCTAAAAGTTCATGAAAGCACAGGTTAGGAGAGGTTTTCTCATTCCCTCTTTCACCTAGTGCAAGAGTCCCTTGCACAGCATCTCGCCTCGGAAAATTCCCAATGTCACATTCGCGGCTTATTTCAGCAGTGACTCAGAAAGTTTCTGTCTATGTCAGGCTGGAAACTATCCCTCTGTAGCATCTACTCATTCATCCTTGTTTTACCCTCTGGGACATTACAGATTATTTACTTCCTTTTTAATACAGCAACACTGCAAGTATTTTAAGGCAGCTTCAGCGTCTTCTCTAAGTGTTCCTTGAATTATTTCTTCACTGAATGTGATTTCCAGACCCATCACCATAGTTACCCTCATCTGCACACTAGTGTATTATGTTCCCTTTTACAAATCTGGCAGCCAGAATGACACATAGTATTCCAAATGTGGTCTAACCAGTTATTACCTCCCTATGCTTCCATTAATAAAGTAGAAGATTGACTTAGCTTTTTATTAATGAGTTCAGATTGTTTGTTATTATTGAACTTGTGGTCAACCACATCCCCCAGGTCTTTATCGTATGATTTGCTCTACAGTTGACCT